ATTTAAAATAAGCTTAATAAAGCGTTACCTGCCTAAAGCTCTTCAAACCGAAACTCTCCTGCTCCATGTTCTATGAAACTGTTCTGACACCTGTGGATAATGAGGGGCTGCTTAAACTTTTATAATTCTTTCCAGAAGGGGAAGACCAACAAACCCTGCCAGCTTATGTTTCTACCCAGATCTGCTGAGCCTGGAAAATTACTCTGGAAATCAGTCGTAAGCTTTAGCTGAGCAAATGAAGCATTCTCAGTGAGAAGAAAACAGCAAGTATGTGCTGTGTCTCCACCCCTCAGCCCTATGGTATATGTATGTATCTCTTAAGACTGATCTGATGATCACTTCTTTCCATAGCCTTGAAAAAGCAGAAGCCTGATTTTTATCATATCAGACTCTAAAGGCATTTCCTCTGGAGAGAAAGCTTATTCAGAGATGTAAATAGCATTGACTTTTCTTTTTTCTCTTCCTTTTCCCCCTGCCCTGGTGCTTATTTATTTTTGGTTTTTAAAATTTTTCTTTATAATTAATTAATTAATTACTTTTGCTGTGCTGGGGATTGAATCCAGGGCATTAAGCGTGCCAGGCAAGCATTCTACCAACTGAGATACATGCCTAGCCTCAAGGTTTTTAAGTTTATTTCAGTTAGTACTCCCAAAATGTCAGAGTCAAGATCATATGGAAAGCCACAGGAACAAATTAGGGTTTAGAGAGGTATGTTCTTTCCCCATAGGTCTGGTGGGGATATAATTATGTGTGTGTGTGTATGCACATGCATGCCTTTTATTTTTGTAAGTGTTCCTTGTGACTACATTGCTAAAAATGTATTAGAATTCCTCAGACTTTTGGGTCCTATGACAGGAAGTTGTCACGAGAGGCAGCTAGGCAGCTATGAGCCTCCCCTACACATATCCTCAGATTGTCAGGTCTGCAGCATATAGTCAATGCTGTCTTCTTGCCTGCCCTATTTTTACATTTTGCAAAATGAGTAATAGAGATCTGACTGGTAAATATTTAGCTCTTTAGAGAAATGTGAATCCTTGGGGATCTTTGATGAATGACTGACCAACAAGGCAGGCTGTAAGTTAAAGTGTGTCCTGCCAGGTTCATTTAGTTGGTTGCAACACTAAAGCTGAGAGGGGCCCTGCTGCCACCAGGCTTTGTAACTAACTGAGGAAGTCATAGCTGATGAACAGAAAGAAGCTTGAGGATGTCAGGAGAACTCCAGGGTAATCACTTCTACTGGGCTGGGGCTGTTTACTGGGCTCCCTAAGGCTGGTGGACACTGGGTGTGGTGGGCGTGCTTGCCTAAGTACCTGTTTGTAGAACACCCAGGCTAGGCAGAGCCAAAACAGTGATCTGAAACCAGTCTCGTTGGTTTTCCTCTCAGCAGCTAGTGAAAATCTGCATTTTAGATGAGACCTGCTGGCAAGCTGAAGAAAAGCATTTAAAAACAAAGTTTCAAGGGCAGTAAATTAACTGCTTTGAGAGTTCTGAACTCTTTGAGGGAGATCTGTTTTTATTTCATTTCTTTGATGAGGAGTTTGTAAGTGACTGTTCTGTGGGTACACTGCTGGCTTTTTGGCCTGGCTCTCCCAGGCCTCTGACTAGAATCCAGATGGAAAAGAGGGCTCATTTGAGACTTACTTTAGTCATTTTCTGCTGATTCACTTCGGAATCTCTTGGGCTGCTCCAGGGGGTGGTTCAGGGCTGTCAGGACCAGCTTGCCAGGTCAGCACTTTCAGGAACCTCAACTTGCTCACCAATGAGGAAGTTGAATGTAACCAGGAGAATCGTAGGCACTGGGCGGAGCTCCTCCTGAAGTCCTGGGCTGGGATTAAGGGACAGACTGACTTTGCCTGTGACAAAAAGCTTTTTGTCCAGAGGAATAAATACGGAAGTCCCAGAAGAGCAGCCTGCCAGCGTCTGTAGTAAGGTGTACAGCCCCAGCTGCTTTGGGGCATAGAGCTGCCCAGACTTTGCAGCTGCCCCGGGCACACCGTCATCAGGCAAACCGGAAGGGAAAGCAGTGACCTGAAACAGACCAAGTGTGTTCTCTGAGCTGCTGAAAGCCTGGCTCCCTCCCCGGTCCTGGGTCCTGTCTCTCCCTGTCCTGTAAGTTAAGAGCAGATGGAGCGGATAAACTGAGAGCAGGGAAGGTAACACAAGGCAGAACTTCGACCAAGGGTACTGCGGGGACATGGAGGAGGTTGGTAACTCTCTCAACAGCAGCAATGTGTTGGAACCGGAAAAAAACGAAGCTGGATTTGAAATGGCCCAGTCAATCCTGAGTAAGTTCTCAATGAAATCCTTGTTTGGATTTACAAGTAAACTGGAATCTGTGACTCCTGAAGAGGAAGATGCTGTGCTGAAGGCATTCCGCAGTCTAGAGATGAATCCCCCTCCTGAGCCGGGTGATCCCAGCAGTTCAGATCAGCCACAGGCAGAGGCAGAGGCTCCTGTTCCACCTGATCTTAGAAATGATGGGAAGCCGGCAAGGGCGGAGACAGGATCCCAGGGATGTCAGGGGAAAGCAGAATCAGGTACCTCTTCCCCTGGTGGAGAGCTGCTTCCACTTGCTGCTTTGAGTGTGGACAGTGGAGATACCATTTGGGTCCGTGGGACCCTTGTTCATACAACCAGTGATTCGGATTCTGAGGATGGAGGCCAGGAGGCAGAAGAAGGAAGCAGCACTAATGGCCCAGAGTCTCCCACTGTTCTTTTATCTGAGCCATCTCAGGAACCCAAAGCAAAACCAGGAGATTCTGGAGAAAATATTGCCACTGGGGAAATCAATGATGTAGAGCTCTGTGTGAGAGATTCTCAGAGAACTCTGCCTAAGACAAATAGCAAACTGGAACCTGGTGGTGCTGATGGTAACTTTCCCCGAGAGCCCAGCCCCAACCAGGGCCAGGCTGCAGATGAAAGGCCCCAAATCCTACCTCTAGCAGCAGATCAGAATCTCCGTGATGGCGTGCCTGAGAGCACCGCTCCTAAAAGAGAAGTTTCCGGAGAGAAGACATTCCAGCTTCCTGCTTTTTTTAGTGGACTTCGTGTGCTGAAGAAGGGGGCTACAGCAGAGGGAGGGGAGACCATCACCGAAATCAAACCGAAGGATGGGGACCTGGCTTTGCTCAAGTTGACCCAGCCAGTTCAGAAATCTCTGCTGCAGGCTGGGCCTCAGACAGTCAGGGGCCAGGAGAGAACAACTGATCCAAAGGCCACTCCCACTCTCCTAGAGCAGCTGTCTCAGCTGCTCAACATTGACATGCCAAGAACCGAACCAAAGGCTGCAGACCCTGAGTTGCCTGGGGTAGAGGAGATGGGTTATAGTACTGACCAGGAGAGCCACAGTGGCTCTGGAGATGCCCAAGTCCAGGGTGACCAGGTGAAGTCAAAGCCACCAGAGACTGCCCTGGAGGCCTTTAAGGCCTTATTCATACGTCCCCCCAAAAAGGGGACCACAGCTGACACCTCTGAGTTGGAAGCTCTCAAACGCAAGATGAGACATGAAAAGGAGTCTCTTAGAGCTGTGTTTGAAAGGGCAAAGTCAAAGGCCGCAGACAGCACCTCGGATCCCAAAAGCGTATGTAGAGTTGGCTTCTGGTAAAATGTGATGCTGTATTTTTTTTCTTTTCTATCCAGAGTTTTCTGTTGAAATGAATCCTAGCTACCTGGTATTGGTATTCTCTTTTGGGTGAACATGATTATCATGATATTAAATCTTTCTTGTCAAGAGTACTGATTTGGACAGAAGAACTCTTTTCCATTTTCCTATTTTTCATGACTATAATAACTCCCATTTAGGTAAAGATGTGCAGGAAGGAAGGGAAAATGTGTACTCTGAGTTTAACACCAATGGTAAATGTACTTATAAAACATTAGCAACATGGGGAAGTGATGGAAGGTGAGGTGTAGCCCCAGTTTATAGGGATTTCCTCACCACTCAATTATAGCTATGCAAACACTAGGCTCTGCTTTGAAAGTATGCCATTTAACAAAATATATGTTTGTGATATAATTGAAATGTTCCATGTTGTTTATATACCTTCTTGGTTGAGTGTGGAACTTAGGATGAGAACTGGATTTGAATCCTATCTTGGCCATTTATAACTGGGTGACCTTGATAATCTCTGAGCCTGTCTCCTCATGTGCAAAGTGAGGAAAGACAATCCTGTCTTTATAGTCTTAAAGAAGTAATAAATGAAGTTAAGGCACAAGAGAATCTAATTAATGAAAGATGTTATTATTCCAGGAAAATTAATATATGAAGTCTAGTAAGCGCCTGCCCAGTGGGCATTGGAGGTTCATTGGGACAATGAATGGAACTTCCTCTTTAACATCAGTTGGGTACAGGGTTGTCATGTCTGTTTACATATTGAATATGTTCAATTAAGACAAAAATTAAAGCCTCTAGAATAACTATCATAGGTTTAGTTAAAAATCTAAACACAGTATAATATTCTAGTTACAAAAACCAGCTTCCATGACAATAACTTGACTATGAAGTCAATCTCACTCATTTTGTAATAGGAGGGAATTAATATTAGTGTGGAATGCTTAGAGAAGTGTGTCTTCAATTGTTGCTAATGTTCATGGAAAATGCAAAATTAGTCCTTAGTGTAAACAGTCCTGGAGTTGTTTGGAGTACATTTGTAAATGTTCCTATAAATGTACCAGATGATAGATTTGTTTTTGTATCTGTAGTTCAAAGTTTATTTGTACCCTTTAAAATAGCTGAATAATAAAAATACTATATTAAGTGTTGTGTGTTACGTAGCCTTCAATTTCTTTTTTTTTTTTTGTGTGTGTGTGTGTTTTAGTTTTTACCCCAACTGTACTACAGATTCATTCTGAAGTAACATAGCTCAATTTCAAGTAATGAAAGCAATATGCAACTGACCGTTAAAATTGACATTAGAATTAGTGTTAGAATGCATGTTTTCAAGAATCAGTTGACTCTGGCCACATTTCACTTAAATTATCGTTTGACTGTTTTTCTACAGCCTGACCAGAGCCCTACAGAGCAGGACGACAGGACTCCTGGCAGACTACAAGCAGTCTGGCCACCCCCAAAGACAAAAGACACAGAAGAAAAAGTGGGACTGAAGTACACAGAAGCAGGTAATGTAGAAGGAAGCCAGGCACCAGGAACGAAGCTCTGCAAATGGATTTTAATTCTAATGCAGAGAGCTGAGAATTTGGGGTTCAGTTTCATTAGGAAATGTAATGCCGAAGGCTTCTGTGGTTTGGTTTTGCTGTTAAAGCAAACCGCTTTGCTCAATGACTGCGCGTGAACTCTCAGGGATGAAAGGCGATTGCCGTAGAATGAATGAGAGGGGGCACATATGTCAGTAAGAGCACCTTTGGGGAGCCAATGGAGTGGGTAGATTACAAATTCCTCAGGAAGCAGGTGGTTGGTGCTCATATAAGGTTTATATGCGCTGGCAGTATTGCTGGAAGAGGCCGAGTATGATTCTCCAGAACTGTAATCTGATGTGCTGTTTGTCTCTGAGTAATGCTTCCTAGATAAAGGAACCTTGTGCAGAATGAACATACAGATGCCATATCAATTACTCGCTCACTTTGTTAGACAAAGCTTCATTTAATGCATGTCCAATTTTAAAGCCATCTAACTCTCTGGAAAACTTCCCAGGAACTTAACTTGAATTTATTTAAATGGAACAGGACTCTAGATATTTTAGTCTTTAAGTGAAAGGTTCATAAGAAAATTTTAAAAGTCACTGTGGAATTAGACATGGATATTTTAATTGTGTGTGGGGGTGGGGTTCTAATGAAACCTCTTTACTTTATTCCTGACACTTAGAAACCTACCTATTGAAGGAGCCAAGGGACTGTCACCCCCAAATATGAGGACAGTGCTTTCATCTTATTTTAAATTAAGAGACCTAGAAATTGGCAGGTGTTGGAAGATGCTTCACTCACTGTTAGCTCCCTTTTAAAGTCTGTACCTTTCTAGGGAGAAAACAATCACCGCTAGTCCCTTTTCTGAGTTTTTACTTATCTAAACTCATGTGGCAGGGAGTTAAAACACCTGGACAAGCTTTCTAAAACACCATTGTTCTCTGTTTTAGTCCTGGTCAATATTCAGAGAAATAAATTCTCTTGTAAAAATGAGTCATTTACAGTCCTTTGTGTGTTCTGTAAGCCCAAGGATTTTGCATTTCCCATTTTCCCTGTCCCCTGTGAGATGGGAATCTTCACTGCTGAAGCCCAAGGCTGTTGGCTAATTACACTTTATGACTTCCTCCATATGCCGAACATTTGTGTTTGCTCCTATTTTATCTGTGTGTTAGCAGTTCATTGCAGCGAATCTTCAGGTGAAGGGAAACCCATCCTGTTAAGTTTTGGGGTGTAGAATACAGCAATAGGAGAGAGAGGAGACCATACCTGACCTCTGATTGATAATGCCAGCTTTCTGCAGCTGGGGCAGTCTATCACTTCCTTTGCCTCTCTTCCATACATGGCTTTCATCCCTTGTTGGTAAGCATGCATTTTAAATTCAAGCTACATAATCATAAAATACTTCTCATAAGTGGACCACAGTTTGGGTGGTTCTGTGATATCAGTAGGTTTTCCTGTGATATCAAGTATCAGTAGTTGAGAATGTACACAGTGGCAGGGGAGTCTGGAGATGGTTTCTAACCTCCACATAGTCTCAAACTTGTGATTTCCTTGGGACATTAACTACTTCATAGCATGTTACTTTTCTGCAGTGCTTTTCTTATGAGATGAAAAATACTGTATCCTTAATAAAAATATGTAGGTCACTTCAATTTTCCCACATATAGAGTGCTATGATTATAATACTGAGTAACCTACCAAGTTATTTTCTTATCATGATACAGTGTGAGTGATCAAATGTCCTAAAGTTTGCCTTAATTAAAGAAAAAAAAATACAATTGGGTCATTATTCCTAGGTATATTAGCGATTTTAGGCCTGCTCTAATTACTCTAACAGGAAGACTTTCCCTGTCACAGTGAGCCTCAGCTGAATAGTGAAGGGAGTCAAAGCCATAAATCCTTGTTGAATTCAGTGAGATTCATATTTTAAGCTATTCCTGCATCTATGCTTTCTGTTATTCCCCAGTCTTCCATTTCTGCAGGCTCACAGGAGCATCCCTGTTTACCTTGGCGTTGCTTTCCCTGGGCTTTCTGACTTCTACTTTCAGAGCCATTAAGGTCTTACATGAGGTGGGGAGAAGAAGAAGATAAACTGGGGAATAATGATAGTTCTGTTGGGCAATGCAGTGAGACAGAGCTGGCTATCTACCTCTGGCAGGACTGTAGCACCTACTGTGTTCTGTGCCTGTGCTTAGCTGCTTGGGAGCCTTCTAGGTGCTGGTATATTTTAGGGGACCTGGTTTCCATAGAAGAGTAAGATATTCTATGCTTTGCTGGAAACATTTTATATCCCTTGGTCATTTTCAGAAAGTTAATGTTTTCTCTGTACTTTCCTTATGCCCTGCTATTCAAGAAACTGACATCTTAGAGACATTTATTCTGTAATTGAACACATTTTGTGGGATGTCTCCTGGCTCCCATGCCCTTGGGAAAACAGAAAATTGTCCACTGAGATACAGAAATTTGATTCAAGGCAGTTCAAGGTATCCAGAGTCTTGAGCTTTTATGTCTTCAGTGTTCTTTATTTTTCCCCAGAATTTATTAGTCATTGAAGTGCCAATGTTTCTATTTCACTCTTGAAATTCTGTGCTGCTGAGGTACACAGCCAGTCTTCAGAGCTAGGAAAGAGGTGGTTTTATCCCGAGGTCCCCCAGTCTTGTATTGTCCTCAGTCGCTTTTTTGGTTTTCTTCTTTTAGAATTTCTTACTCAGGTACTCTTTCTGGAGGCCTGAGGAATCACTTGATGCTGAAGTGATTGCCCTTTCGTTCCAGGCAAGAAGAGAGCCAGTATAAGAAGCTGTTGTTCTAAACTGTGGTTTCTACAGTCGTCTCCTCCTATGAGGGTAGTTCATGGTGGCTGCGCATGCCCACTGCCAAGGTGTTCCATCCTGCCATTCCACAACCATCAGTGTCATCTGCAGCTCCTGACACTGCAACCACTTTCCCAGGCAGTAAAGCTTTTGGCTTCTGCAGGAGCCTCTGTTGGCTTCAGATTGTTCTGTGCCCACATCAAGGGCACTGTTATGGCCAGTCTCTGAGCTCTTGGAGCCTGGTGGTGTGCCAGTTGAGAGAACTTCTAGCACCCTCAGGAGCTGTCACTCAGGGGACTGCCACAGATTTGACCTATACTGAAGGGGTTGAGTTGGGAACTCGGAACTCACAATACTAATAATTCATACTTTGTCTGAAGTGCTCTGCTCAAAACAAAACTTCTCCCACCCATCTCTTGTGTTGAGCTTTCCTATATGGTTACAGTAATCTTGCCTTGTGTTTTGAATCTCTCACAGTAGTTTCGAGTGAAAAGAACATTTTTGCTCCCCTTTTTCTTGGCTTGGGCTGGGATAATCTATGTGACAACCCCACGCTTCTCTCAGAATTACCTTTCCTCCTCCCAGTTCAGCACTTTAGTATTGATACAAGGTATGAATGGTCCTGTATTAGTAGTCTTTTTTAAAAAAAAATTGTTATTTTTATTTTATGCGTATGAGGGTTTTACCTGCATGTGTGCAAGTACTACTATGTCATGCAATACCTATGGAGGTCAGAAGAGGGCTTTGGCTCCCCTAGTACTGAAGTTACGGAAGGTTAGCCACAATGTGGGTGCTGGACCTCAAACCCAGGTCCTCAGCAGCCAGTGCTCTTAACTGCTGAGTCATTTCTGCAGTCCCAGTCTTGGTTTTTTTGTTTGTTTTTGGTTTTTGTTTTGTTTTGTTTTGTTTTGTTTTGTTTTGTTTTAAAATAGATTCCTCTGTCCCATTTTCCAGTGGCCAGACTCAGAGAGGAACCAGGGCATTAGGGACCAATGGTCCTAAAGGAAGTTGACAGCAAATCAAGAAAGGCAAATAGATCACCCCACATAGTTATACAGTCCCATTTCTTTCTTTTTCTTTTTTCTTTTTTTTCTTTTTTTTTTTTTTTTTTTTTTTTTTTTTTCTGTCTTTTTGAGACAGGGTCTCCTTGTAGCCCCAGCTGTCCTGGAACTCACTATGTAAACCAGGCTGGCCTTGAACTCACAGAGATCCACCTGCCTCTGCCTCCCAAGTGCTGGGATTAAAGGTGTGTGCCACCATGCCTGGCCACAGTCCCATTTCTTAATGATTTCTTTCTTTTTCTCATTCTCATTGCCTCCATTTCATGACAGAAACTTAATTTGATGTGTAATCTGAGTTAGAGCTCCAAGGTACTTTTTTGTTTCTTTGTTTTCTGAATTGTGAATTAATTTCACAGAAGGGTTTTGGAATAACTGTCCCCTCTGTATACTAAGTCTACATCTGCTCTTGACTTCTATCCCACTCTTTGCTCTGGTTGTATAGTACAGCATATTCTCAGCTCTGTGGTGTTACAGCACACCTCACAGTGTGATACCTTCAGTTCTCTTGCATACTTTGAAAAATATTTTTGGCTTTCCTCATATATCTGTTCTTCTGTAACTCTTGGCTGAGTGTTAGAAGGGTTTCTTTGGATTTGCGTTGCTTTAGGTTAGTGTGAGATGAAAAAAATGTCTAGTATTCCCACGTATCATAGAAAACTATTCAGAGGGTTTTTTTTACTTTAAGTAAAATAAAAACATTTGCTTATTAACATATTTACATATGAATACATGTATATGCCTTGCATTTTATTTAAATATATTCCCAAATACATTATTTTTAAAAAATATTTTATTTTTATTTTATGTGTATGAAGGAAAATGGATCCAAGAAACACATTTCTTTTTAACGCATCATATGAATATGTTTCTTGGATCCATTTTCCTTTCCTAGAGTTTTCCCCTGTCTAAGACAGAAGCATGATGACTTCTGTAGATTTTCTTCCTAAGCCCAGAGTTTATCAATGAGACTCATCTTTGGACTCCTGACTTCATAGCTACCTTCTCTGAGTTTCGCTGTGATTAGTGATTCTAAATATTTTCAGATTCCTTTAAAAACCTAGTGCTCAAAGCTGTGGAAGAGCACACTGCATTTAATATTGCATAGTAT